GAAAGAGGAAGTTTTAATCTCAAACTCAGCCTGTAAGAGAGGAAACAGCTGGTGGACAAATGGAGGATTCCTAGGAGGCCACAGGACACCCTGCCCTTCCCTGTTCATTACAGTCAGGTCTGCACAACCCTCAGCTTTCAAACAGATGAACATGACCAACATGCAAATACGACCATCCTCTCTTCTTCCCAGAGGCGCAGAGACAGAAAGGCTCCAGTTGAGTACAAGCCAAGCTAAGAAAAGTCTGGAAATATTCATGTGTTGGTGGACACAGGCCCAGATGACCTTGTATCTGCTTAGCAGGTCTCAAACCTAAAGACCTGCCTCAGGTCTCCCTGCCCTAACAGTACTTGGACATTGCACCATGGCTTCTGGCACAAAGAACAGGATTTCCTGGATTTCCTCTGGAAACAGGAGCCATGGGAAGACAACTTGCCCATATTAAAACCTCAATAGCTCTCATAAGACAGACCACAGGTCCTGTCTCTCCAAACACGTCCACCTGGAGATGGTTACCCACAGCACGTTTTAACGTGGAGGATCCAGCAGGAAGATGCGAGTTGACGAGCAAGACACTGCAAGAACCACGAGCCACCAAACCTTGCACAATGTGAGTGTTCCTCACCACCTCCACTAAGAACAGGACTTGTGAATCTCTGATACCACTTTTCCCCCCCCTAAAAGCCACTTTCATCTTCCTATCATGCTGCTTCTCTCCCAAGACTAGGCCTAGAAATTAACTGCACTTGCCCAGTGTCCAGGTGAGCTGCTGTGGCTCTGCACGGCGGATCAACAGACACCCAGGAAGCACCCAGGACCTCCTGCTCCGTGCGTCTGCCTGAGCTCCCTTCTGCCACCAACACGTCCCGATCAGCAGCATTTCCAAAAGGAGACAGGAGTGAAATTTCTTCTTCATCAAAGCCAATATGAAAACTACAAAGATCCTGAAAGAGACCTGAATACACTTGAGTGATCAAAGAACTGGATCGGAATAAAAATTAATAATAAAAATATAATAAT